TATGACTTGCTTAACGGCCCATCTACACAGGGTAGGTAATAAGGGCCAACAAATGGACGACAAAAAGAAATGCAAATGAAAAACATCAAACAAACTTAAAGGTAAAAGACACACGTCAATTTGAATATTAAAAATGGTTATGTTGACTGTTTATCAAAATCACCGACAGCTTTCAGGTAGCCGAAAATTGTAGAGACAGTTATCTTTTTTTTCGAAAAGAGATTTAAGACATGTAAGGTCATTTCAGAAATTTTCGCCAGTTGACACAATCTAATAACAAATGTTTTACTGTAAATGGCTCCGAACACGAAATGCATTGAGTCTGGTCTTCACGTTTTAATAAATTTTAATGTGACCCATCCGGAGATGGGCAAGGACAAACTTGTCTCGGCGCCTCTCCCTATAGCTAGGATGCAAGCTGACCTTAATTTCATATCCTATCATGATGGCATAGCCCAAAGGTATGTATATACAAATAAAGAAACTTATCGGTGATAGCCACCACCTTTTTGTTGCGAAGGCCCTGTAGAACAGATACAGGATCAGGCTAGATAACTGACTGCGGCGAGATAGATAGCATGGGCTTCGGAGGAGAATATTGACGCATAATTCAGCAGCTGGAATCCAACAGTAGCATTCCGCTACCGTGGCCGCGACAACCGTTTGGTCATCTTTCGAGCAATCAGTATTAAATGATTGAAAGTCCTGATATTTTGACTGCAGTTTTGAGAAAAACGTAAGATCAACCTCCGGCGAAACCAGAAGCCACTGAGGAATATCAAAAGAATGAGATAATGAGGCTCTTAGAGGACGGAAACCTTTTGCCAGCACAAGGAAAATCTACAACAACACAATCTTTGGAAGTCCTGGAAATTATAACTGAAATTGTAGACGGAGGGTAATCCGTGGACAATGTGTAAATATATTTAAAAAAAAAGCGTTGTATACAGTGCGTTACCAACGCCTGTTAAAGCCATGCACGAATTACACGGATATGGATGGGAAGCGTTTCCTTGGACCGGAATACAAAGTTAAACAATAGGTTTTTGTTGTATAAACAAATGTGCAATACATATAAACATGAAGAAGTGCGGGGCAGAATGTAATAACTTAATAGCCGGTTCATGGCGCAAAGTACTTCCAGTATAGAAAACATTATTTCATGTTTTACTAAAGTAGACATATTTGTCTGTTAGGCATACTTATAGGGAAGTATATTGTTCCATCCTTTCTGTAAATTGATTATTTTTTGTACATGATAAAGCTTATCTAATCTTGCGTTGTCTAGAAGAAGTGGAGAGTTATTGAGAATTGTAATCCAGACTTTAAAAGATTTTTTTTTTTTTTTAATAATGCGACCTACAATGTATGGCAGTTTAGGAATACAACTGTACACGAGTAAAACACATAAACAAATATTTATCAACATGCATTTTTTTCTATTTCACATATATTTTCCCTTCAGAACGTAAGAATGTCTTGTATCACACCTGACCAATTTTTTTGGTTTTCAAAATGAAACCACATCTGGAGTCACATCTGCTTTTTCTTTTTCACAATTATAACCCCGGGTTTTCAGGATGCGTAGAACATACAAGCGTCATCAGCCAACTGATCAGAGAAGCAAAGCAGAAAAAAGGTAACCTGAAAAGAGGGAAAACTGTGGAACTCAACAAACAGGGAGTGTGGACCAGATGGAATCTCCCAGAGAGGAAGATGACGTGGGCTGAAATATGGAGGATGGAGCCCTTCCGGATATCATTCCTGCTACGATCCGTGTATGAAACGCTACCATCTCCTGTTAACCTGCATTAATGGGGATTGACGGAGAATCCTTGCTGCAAATTATGCGGAGGAAGAGGAACAATGGCTCATATATTGTCTGGTTGCAAAGAAGCACTAAGACAGGGTAGATACCGATGGAGGCACGACAACGTCTTGCGGGTCCTAGCAGATATCCTTGAAGTGGAGAGAAAGAAGAAGAGAACTGGTGTAAGAACAAACCAGACTGGTATCAAGTTTGTGAAACCATGGGAGAAAACCACTGTCAAGCATCGAAGCAACTTATCCATCTTGGAACGGGCGCCAACATGGGGGATAAAGGTTGATCTTGACAGGAAGCTTGTGTTTCCAGGAATTGTGGAAACAACGATGAGGCCTGACATGGTAATATGGACATAGCAATCCAGACACCTCATCGCCATACAGCTCACCGTACCATGGAAGGAAGGCTGCGAGGAAGCCCACGAGAGGAAGAAAGCCAAGTATGATGAGCTAATGGAAAAGTGCAGGAGCAGAGGGTGGACAGTATGGCTCTATGCAGTGGAGGTTGGCTGTTGAGGTTTCCCCGCACAGTCAGTGTGGAGGACACTACAGTCGACAGGACTCGTTGGGAAGGCAAAAGCTACCGCCATCAGACGATTGGGAGAAGCTGCAGAGAGAGCATCGTGCTGGCTATGGCACAAACGAGAAGAGCCGATGTGGAAGCCGACATAGACGAGTAGTGGTTTGGCCACCACTGCATGACCCACTAGCCGAAGGATATAGTGATTAAGTGTCGAAACATATGAAGAGGGCTGGCCGTCACCTGGTGACGTCAAATGAGGCTTCGCGACAAGATTGACAGCAGTGACGGACTACAAGTCAAGGATGTCACAAAATGCAGAATTACCATAATCTGTAAGCAAACACCTGATATAAACTTTTTCAGTAAGACAAAACGTTGTGTCACATCGGACTAAGTCTTTGGTAGGTCATCCGGATATTTTTTTCGTGAAAGAAGTAAAACTCTCTGGTCTGAAGTTTTTCACTGACTTTCGATTTCCTTTTTTTGTGTAGGGTCGTCATATTTGCAAGCTTCCATTTCTTTGTTAACTTCCCTTCGTCTATTGATTTTGAAAATATTAATTTTGATGGTGTTTTAGAGCATCTCTTGTTTCGTAAATGAATTTTGGGTGAAAATTGTCTGTTCCTGGTGACTTTGATGTGTTTACCTGTTCAAGTTTTTTACAACAATTAACTTCTTCAGTATCATAGTTAGAGATAGTCTATCCATATATCCTTGTACCCCATGTCGTTATTCGTCAATACCTCTGTAAGCAATATAATGATCAGGTTCCTCTTCGTTTATGACCATTTCCAGTTCCCGCTTTTTAATTAACAGGCTGCTATTGTATATCTTCATTGCAATATATTTAAAAGATGTGCATTGATTGGTTGCCTTACGAGCGTCAGCTGTAGGGAATTTCCCTTTAGCCTATCTGGTAGAGCATCGGGCTGGAGAGCCAAGGGTCGCGGGTTCGGGCCCCAGCGACGGTACTATCTGTATTACTATTCCTCGTCCTATTACAAATTGGTGCCGTTGACCCTCTCCGTTCAAGGTAGGAGAACCCTTGGCGGGGAGTCAAAGATCCTAGATTGGTGTTAGAAAAAAGAGGAGAATAGTGTAAAAGATGTGCATTGATTAGGTGGCCTTACAAGCGTTAGCTGTTGGGAATTTCCCTTTAGCTCAGCGGTAGAGCATCGGGCTGGAGAGGCAGGAGTTGCGGGTTGGAACCCCAGCGACGACAATATCTTAATCACTATTCCTCGTACGCGTCCTATTACATAAATCCTTATCCCTACAGTTAAATGTTCATCCTGATTTCCTGTGGTTCGGTTCAAACTCTCATTCTACTCATTTCTAGATCTACTTAATTGCTGTGTCCATTTCCATGCCATACCACTGTTGTTTTCCTCTGTCATTCTCTTGAAGTAGAATGTAACAGGTGTAGATCATAATTTATATCCATCGCATACATATGTTGTCAGTAAGTATAAGGGCATGTATATACTGTCAGTTAAATACACAATTATGTATGTTTCAGGTAATATGACTGAAAAATTTGGTTATGTCGGTCAGGTATGGGCGGCCGTTTTAGGATAAAATACATAAATGACCATTATGTATTGATCAGGCTACGCCGTCAGCATGGCCGTTGCGAGTCTGTGTAGTTTGCCAATTAATACGCTGCCAACCATTGTATTTCTGTCGTGAATCCATGCAACATGTTTTCCTTTTAACGTTTGCACAAATTTTCCTACATGACAATTCCAATGATAATCGCAGTAACATTCGCGAAAAAGTCTAATTAAGCCTACCGGAATCACCTCAACCTCCGCCGCCATTTTGACATCTGGGGCATGCGCAATACATCGCTAAACGGAACCATCCATTGTAACAAGATCAAGAGGGATAAGAGGAAATCTTCTGTACTTAAGTGCGAAGGTACATAATGTAAAAAGTTTACTACATAATGACAAAAGACGTATTTTTGCGTTAAGTACTTTTAGTACTTATAAGTGCAAAAGATTTGCACTTAAGTGAAAAAGTTTTTGCCATTATGTGAATTTTTACCATTATGTCCAGTTTTTTTCACTTAAGTGTAAGTGTTTATGTGTTTTATCCTAAAACGGCCGCCCATAGTCAGGAGTCATTATTCTCTTATCTGCTTACTTTTTATGGAAGGGGTGGTCTTTTTTGTGGAGTGGAAGGAGTGGGGGAGGGTTAAATTAGATATTATAACAAATCACAACACATATTTTTAGGTCTTTTAAATAATGATATGGGATTTTTACCAGCACAGGCCTTTTAGGCCCACCGTTGGAAAATTAGTCGCGTGCAAAACGAGATGAATCGTGCATGGCCGAAACTGTAGACTCCGCTATATTTTGTTAACTATAGTAGATATAACGAATAAGTGAAGTCATTTAGTATAGTAGACAGAGTCACGTAATAATAGGTTCATTGCTATTTGTTAGACGTACAATAATTATATTGAAACTGTGGATTTTGAGATCTGGTAGACGTGAATTGGCCCACCTACTATACGGTCCGAGGCGGTTATTGTCGCTACTACCTGAGTCGTTTCAACCGGATAAATGAAAGGAACTAATGAATTTTTGATGCGCCCGATTCAAACATTTTCTTGATTGGGATTTAAGCTTTAACAAGACACCGACAGCACCAAACCTAGGCCTACTTCAAATCGATTAGGAAATAGTCCAAAACAAGAAATATCATGTTGAACATGATGTTTGACTAGCAGTGCAAATTTTGATTCCTTGACGGGGAGAGAACTTTCATTATCGTGTTGACGTGATCTAGGCTGGTAAGTTATTTACATAAAAATACAGAAAACATGCTGATCTTGCAATGCGCAACGACACGTTGTTTACCTAGGTTACACGTTACAGTGCCCGAAAATAATGTTGGCAGTGAAACAGATCTTAAGGGGTTCATCTTTAAACTGTCAGTAAACGACATCAGAAGGTATGTTGTATATATATGCAGCGGAATTGGACTGGGTCGATCGTCGGCGACCAAATGCATATATGGCTCAATTAGTAGAGCGTCTGTGCTAGAGCTCTGAGGGTCCCGGGTTAGAACCCCGGTCTGGCTGTGCATTTTATAACATGAAATCAGTTTGTCTCTTTTAATTCTGTTCATCAATTACAAATTCCATAATCGATATAATCAGTTCATTACTGAATTCAAATGTCAGATGTATACAACTTTGTATAGTGTGCATTGAAAGTAATTTATATTGTTGATTTTTATTATATGACTGATGCCAATGTTCGAAAATAAACTGTAGGTTGTGAAAGAAAGAAAACTCAAATGTATAGTAAACATGGAGAACTATCTCATGCCTATTGATGTTACAATAGCGTTATCCTATGAGGGTATAAACTGATTCAATCTTTATCGGTTTACTACTTCTGATTCTAAACGAATAGTTAATGTTGATTTTATACTGTTCGTGCCCATCACTACTGTCCCAGGGGTGGAATTAAAAAGAGGAGTTTACTGGCCCAAAGGTCCAGTTGAAGTAAACATATGTGTATTCACTGGTCCTGTTTGAAGTTCATTGGTCCAGAAAACGAGGGCCAGATGCCCAAACGAATGCCTTTTAGGGGATCCGGAAATTTTTTAAAATCTAGAAGCTATGAGGAGCATCCTGGGCTTAAAATACAGCTCTTCAACTAGAATCAAATCTGCTGAAATTTTAGACAAATTTACAAAATATCTACTGGCTCAGCAGGATAGCTTATTGAAAAACCTACTGGTCCAGCCAGAAAACCACTGGCCAGTGGACCAGCGGTTAATTCCACCCTGCTGTCCATATGGGTTTTCTTTGATACTCATGTTTCCTTTCATATTAAGAAACCATGCATTCTTTCATCCTAGCAAACAAGGGTGATTTATATTTATCTTATTTCATTTTTGTTGTACATGTAGAACGAATAAAAAATAATTTTCTATAACTTGGGCTGAGGTTAAATTTTACGTTACTCTTATAAACCTGATTTTTCTATATATACATACATATATTACAAATTGTTCACGTCACTTTATTAATTTCAGGAAAAAATGGCACTTGAGGAAGTGTTTAGGAAGTATGATTATGTTCATGGCACAGAAGAGACTGATGATGCTCTACAAGAAACTCTTGTACAACAACGTGGAGATTTTGAGGACGCAGGTAACGTGCAAAATCTTCAGAAATGCATGTCCGTCCTACAAGAGAAAATCTGTGTAAAAGGATTCCCGGCAAAGAGGACCCCAGGCTATATAATGGCTTCCAACTCCCTGGAGGTCATCAAGTATGTAATGAAGTGAGTATCTTTTAATAATTTTATTCAATTCCTAGCATGATTAAATCCAGGAGCTTTCCTGGGTATTTTAGACTCCAGCAACTTGACTAGGTCAATCGTTGGCAAACAGGTACCTAAATTGGTAGAACGTCCATCTAAAGTTAGGAGGGTACTGGGTTTGGACCCCGATCTGGCCGTGCATTTTTTCGCTCCTGATACATTTGGTGTCTGAAACCAACCCTTTTTTCAAATACTGGGTGATTGCTTGATAAGGGGATACCCGAACCTGGGTTGTAAATAGTTGTGTCTTTGAGGGCAAAGACTTAGAAAACGGAGGGAGGAATGTAGGGGAACTTGACTGGGTCAATCGTCTGCGACCAAGAAGCTCAATTGGTAGAGCATCCGTCTAGAGTTAGGAGGGTCCCAGGTTTGAACCCCGGTCTGGCCATTAATTTTTCCTCTCCTGAAACATTTGGTGTCTGTGACCAACCCTTTTTTCAAGTACTGGGTGAGTGCCTGATAAGAGGATACCCAAACTGGGTTGTAAATAGTGTTGTGTTAGAGGTTGAAGACTTAGAAAAAGGAGGAAGGATCGTAGGGGAACTAGACTTGATCAATCATCGGCAACCAGGTAGCTCAGTTCGTAGGGTGTCCGCTAGAGTTCAGAGGGTCTCCGGGTTTGATCCCTGGTCTGGTTGTGCATTTCCCCACTTCTGAGAATTATTCATTCACTGGGAGTCCTTTTTTATTACTCTATAAAGCCAGTTAAGTATCCTTTTTCATTATCTCATTTGCCTATTTAATATCCTTGTGAAATGCTTGTTCATTCTGATAATTATTCAACTTGATTCAAAGCATATTTTTTTCTTGGGGGGAAACTTTATGAACTTCTATTAAAATTCTAATTGAATTTTTTATTCAGACTTAGGAAATTTAACTTTTTTAATTTCCTCCCCAAAAGAAAATGTATTAATTCTACTTTGCTGAAATAACTGTCTCAGTCTAGACCTCGTATGATTTACAATTGATTTGTGGCAATAAGGCGAAGGAGTGTGTTTTATTCTGAAAATTTCATTCTTCTTTTGCAGTGATTGTGTCGATAATGACAGAGCAACTGAGGAAGATTGTCAGAAAATGCTGTTTGACTTCCTGTTGGCATGTTTACGCACAGGACCAGGATCTGCCCTCGGAGATATCATTGGAGATGTCCTTAGTATCCAACACATGGAGAACTATTTAGAAGTATGTTTTGCACATGCAGTTTAATATTTACATTACATCTTTTAAAAATGTAATTATGCTTTCTTTCATAGCCTAATATATACATCTTCATTCCAGGCTGAGAACTTTAATTTTAAAAAAAGAAGACATTAATGTACTTTGTTTTTTTAATAATTGCACTTTTGATGTGTACACAAGAATTGATGACACTTTTGATGTGTACACAAGAATTGATGACACTTTTGATGTGTACACAAGAATTGATGACCCTTTTGAAAAGTTCACTTGAATTGATGATACTTTTGAAAAGTACACAAGAATTGATAACACTTTTGAAAGATACACAAAAGAAAATGCAGGTATTGATGCTCATGTTATTTTGAATATTATGTCGATGACTTTTACATAGGTTACAGGTACATTGTCTAATATGTCAAAGTACATAACATATGTACATCCTTACCTCTAACACAAATCATGACAAATAAACCAAATACTGAAGATAATTATTAACAGCCACTTTGTTTCTGAATCCTATTTCATTTAATTTGATGTATGATACAGGCCTGTTGTAACTTGTAGCCTCAACCTTACACCAATACAGTACTTACAAAGCACCACCTATATTAAGAAAATGCAGATTTCTAACCTTTACCTTACGCTTATGCCACCAAAGCATCATCTATATGAAGAATATGCTATTCTTTATGTGTTGTTAAATTAAACCCTCAAATAAATGCTGGAAAGACTTCTTGTCAAACTGACTGTAGGCCAGTGATTAAAAGTCAAAGTACTCCATTATACTTAGCACTCTTTATTTATATAAGTTACAAAGAGAAGCACTGTAAATCCAGTTTTGTTATCTGTAACCAGTGATATAGACTATACCACAGGCTATGTCTCAGGAAGAAGCTTATACATGTTTATGTATTTGGTTATCAACAGTTGGCCATTGCCTGCAGTGAAGAGTGAATTTCAATAACTGTAAACATACATACTTACATGTACTTTAATGCACTCAATTTTAGCACCTTATCAAGCTTTCACAGATCAGTGCATTGACATCATTTAGTGCATTTATAATTAAGCATAATATTTAAACTGCTAAAATGAGACTAATGCTAGGATATGTATGGTTACAGTTGTCAATCCATCATTAAAAATCCTTTGTTAATGACCCTGTTAAATAACTTTTATAATAACACATTTTAACTCATTCACCCCTAAAATTTCATAATGAACTATTCCAACCTCTGAATTGGAAGAGTACAAAGATGTCTTTAGGGGTAAATGAGTTAAGTAGGACAATAACTAAACTAAATGTACTATACAACACTGATTTGTTTATAATTGTTGGTTATTTAATATTTTACAATAGTTTCATAAATGAAAATAATTACAGAGTTATTTAGAATTCTGTATACTTCTATCACATGATATGTCAACTTAATTTTATATAGGCATTAAAGGGCAAGGAGTTGACAAAGCTCATCTCAGCAATGAAGGAATTCACACACACATCGGAGGAACCAAAGATGTCTCTTGAAGACCAAAGTTCTTGCTGGGATCACTGCATCTGTGGAGTTTTAGACACAATGAGGTACTATGTGATAGAATAAATAAATACTGTATTTATCCTGCAATAATGGTGGGGGGGATTATTACCAGACATGTGATTACTTAGTCCGAGTTTCCTCTAGCCCTAACACCAGACTTAGACATTTTGACATATATAGATGTCTGGTGTGGGGCCAGAGCGCACTGCTTAGTATATGAAAATGTGGAATTCTCCGACACTGTTTGGTATCGGGGTGTGACTAATCAACAAAAAGACACAGTCCGGAAATCTTCTAAACAAGAATAATATTTTTCGTTTTCGGTCCGGATCAGTACTGTTTGTTGATAAGTCATCCCATGACCTACAAAAATGGTGTTCGCTCAGGTGGGATATTTTGATCGATTGAAAAGCAAGGACTCTGCTGATTGAATTAGGCAGCTATTGGTGATAATAAGAGCTGATTTGGAAAAATAAATAATTCATTCATAGATATATGTGAGGTATGTGTTGTGTCATAGTAGATTATTGTTGTCAGCACATCTTAACTCTCTGATACCAAAGGGTGTTGGAGAATTCCACGTTTTCATATAGCAGTGCGCTCTGGCCCCACACCAGACATCTATTCCGTCTTTCCGTATTGCAGAGTTATCTGCTCTTGTGAGCAGGTATTGATTGTTACATCATTAGTTTGTGAGAGAAAATTGCGTCGTTTTCTCAAAACATTATGATGTTACGTATAGCTCTCACAAACAAATAACGTAACAATCAATATCCGCTCACAAGAGCAAATAACTGTGCAATACGAAAAGACGGAATATGTCAAAATGTCTAAGTCTGGTGTTAGGGTCAGAGGAAACTCTGGCCTAAGTGATTACTATCCCCTTGCAACAAAGTCAGGAAGGGGATATATTGCTTGTATAATCCGTTTGTACGTTTGTTCATACATACATATATATACATTTTGTCATCACTTTAACAGCTTCATTCCTGCACAGATTTTGATCAAATTTCATGTATTGGACATACAAGAGAATACCCCAAACAAGTCTATGATTCATTGGTCCATGGTCAAGGTCAAGGTTACCGTAACTTCATGTATTTACAGATCTTTTTTAAAGACACTATCTGGCGACTTTTTTCTGCATGGAATTTTGATCAATTTTCATTTATTAATCATTTATGCTTTGTCTAGCTTCTTTCATAAAAGAGTCAGAATGAAAATAAGTTTGAGATTCCTTTTATCATATATGCTCCACCAAAGCATGTTTAATTACAAAACTTGTGAATACATTTAAACTGAGAAAATCATAGGAAAACTGTGTAAGAAAAGAATAAGATTGGTGGTACATTTATTATGTTTAGCATTCTAATTTTATAATGTTTTAGCGAACCAAAAGTCTGTTTAAGTCAATCACAATTTTCAAGTTTTATTATAACAGGACTATTTTTCTGTTTGTATTTACAGTGAAAGTAAAAACCTTCAGGACGCCGACTTTCAAGAACAGTTACTGGACCTGTTCATATTCTATTTCCTCAAGATGAAAGACGTGCCTGTCGAATACGACCTGCCTGTACAAAATGTCATGGACAAAATAAAGTCCTTGTACAGAGAAAATTATGACAGAAACCCATACAAGGTGTGTTGTAGTGGTGTTCCTTTTAACCAACTTTGTCAACTTAATACAGGGTGGGGGGCTCGGGGTGGGAGGTGAAGATCCAACATCCAGTCAGCGGGATTTTTCATAAAGATCAGCAAAGTTCAGCATTTCCCAGTTGATGGATTCTTTAAATAGAGTTTACTAGTTCAGCCATAGAATTATAGAATCACTAATGAGAAGAGATAGCCATGACACCATCAACTGGGATATCAGCAAGTTTAATCCAGTGTTTACATGTTTCGAACCACTAGGTGGGCAGACATCAGAACTTAAGTATTCCTGACGGAAAAGTATCATAAACAATGTCCATCTGTCTGACATTTTATTCACCATCTTTGCAGAAATGATAAAGACATAAAAACCTTGTGCATATCAAGAGTTCACAAAACAAATAGAAACTAGATAATTTGGGGGTTATCTCCCCTGAACCTCATTCCTGTCATGCATGCATAATAAACTGATTTTTCAACTACAATCCATTTTAGTTGGAATATTTCAGTCTAGATTTTGTTATGTTTTCGGAAGAGTTATTCATGATTTCATGTATATTTCACTGCTATTCTGCCATACGATTACTGTTAATATAAGTTGCTAATATTCACAAGGGTTTTAATTTTCGCAAATTTCTTGAATGATTTAAATTTGCAAAATTAAAACCCTCGTGAATATTTTGAGATCAGTAGCAAACAATAGTGTCGGATCTGGTAGCAACGATGATTTTGGAGTTTTAACTCCAAGTTTTTCTGTTTTTCACCACTGTACCATGTTTAAGTTACGTTGCTATAGTGAATGTATACTGTCTCTGATCGGAACAAAGTAATGAATATCTTGACGTTCACAAGACTCATATAAAACAATAAGTTTAACTCGGGCAACAACATACAATTTTTTTTGTTGAAAACAACTCACTTACCTGGCACTAGGAACAGGTATACACATGTGTCCGGTAATGTTGTCAGGTTGTTCGTTGCTAGTAGTAACAAGCACTCGGAACTCTTTGCGAGGTGATCCAAAATAGACTTACCATATAGAAATTATGATTTGCGAAATTACCCCCCCCCCCCCCCCCCCCCTGCATAGTTTCAGGTACAAAACTACCTGGTATACAGTATAGTATTTCAACAAGAAACCATTTAATATGAGCACACCTCATTTGGGGTCGTGGATTCCATAAATTCCATACAACCTGCACTAATATCATTCGTGTTGAAAAGTTGGGAAAAGTTGGATGGCAAATGGCAGACAAACTAATGTATTTCTTTTCATTAACTACATGTTTATATGAAAAAAAAACAGTAACTCTATCCATTTTCTATTTTAAGAATCTGAAGAATAAAGACATTTTTTGCAAGCACATGATACACATACAAGATGTGATTGGTGACGAGAAATTTGGAAGAAGTGAGAAACAAGTGGAACAAGCTCACGATATTATCAGACTCATTCTCAAGGGCATGGGGTAAGAGTTACAACAGTATATGTGCATGATATTAGTTTAACATATTGTGTACCAGAGCATGCATGTAAGTCAGGACTTACCAGGTTGAATATTGTTCCTATATCTGTGGCAGATTTTAATTGTACATAGCCTTGATAGGGTAACGGTCGCCTTCTTGCTTCGCACTAGAGAGAATTTCCCTTTAGCTCAGTGGTAGACTGTCTGACTAGGAAGTTTGGGATTGCAGGTTTGATCCCCGGTGGAAGCAAGCTAACTCTTTCCTGTTGAAATGGTGTCTGTGGCCCTCCCTGTGGTGACAGGAGTTAGAAACCTAGGTTGTTGTGTTCGAGAGCGAACAAATTTAAAAAGGGGGAGTAGTGTGGCAGATTTTAATTGTACATTCAGGATAACGGTCACTTTCTAGCTTCACGCTAGAGGGAATTTCCCTTTAGCTCAGTGGTAGAGTGTCTGACTAGGAAGTTTGGGATTGCAGGTTTGATCCCCGGTGGAAGCAAGCTAACTCTTTCCTGTTGAAATGGTGTCTGTGGCCCTCCCTGTGGTGACAGGAGTTAGAAACCTAGGTTGTTGTGTTCGAGAGCGAACAAATTTAAAAAGGGGGAGTAGTGTGGCAGATTTTAATTGTACATTCAGGATAACGGTCACTTTCTAGCTTCACGCTAGAGGGAATTTCCCTTTAGATCAGTGGTAGAGTGTCCGACTAGATAGTCTGGGATCAAGGGTTTGATCCCCGGTGGAAGCACACTACTCTCTTTCCTTCTACATTTCCATGACATGGTATATTTGTATATGATATTATTACAATCATATAGTCATCTATTAAAAAGTAAGTAATCACTATATATTGCATTTTTACCAGTGAAATATAAGGAATTAGTCATTTAAACAGTGAAGATATACAAATTGTTATACATGTAGATATCATTTTTAGTATTGTCCAATCAGAACAGGTACTTAATAATTTCAGTGCACAGACTTTCAATTTCAAGTTTAGACGGCAGAAAATTGCGTCATATATTTGGGTATTTACATGAGTGTAATATTATTGATATAACAGAACTGAAAAACGAAACAGATTGTGCACATTATGTGACCTGAATGATGTCGAGGATGAGTTCCATTTCCTTTTTAAATGTCTTTGTTATATTGATATTATAAGGTTGAAACTAATTAAGAAATATTATGTAAGACATACAAGCATGTATAAATTAATTCAACTAATTACTTGTGAGAATTTATCAGACATTAGAAATCTTGGCAAGTATATTTAATACAAGCAAACAAAAGGAGATCTGCGCTGATTTCTGGTTAGTGTTCACTCTTTTTGTGTGTGTGTGTGTATCATTTTGTATGTTGTCTTTGTATCATGTTCTGTATATATGTTATAACTGATAAGTTAATCGACTTAAAGTTATAAAGAACTTGAACTTGAACAGAACTACACAATTGATATCATATTTGTTTGGAACGTAATAAAATTCATATTGTGTATTATATGAAATGCCAGATTGGTATAATATCTATTAGTATAGCTATTATTTTAAAAAGTGATACATTATTTTAACTACCTATTTTACAGTGAACATCCAAAGGATTTGAAAGATATTTGGGACAATGTTCTAGATTTTATGAAGACTTTGTCCTTTTCAAAGAAATGTGCTGAGTTTCCTAAGATCATGGAACGATTCAAGTATTTCTTTGAAGAAATGCCAAAAGGATCCTTGAAGGTTTGTATTATTGTAATAATAATGAAGGCTAAACAAAAATATGTTTTGGTTTCTGGAGACATCAAGGGATCTAGCATTTGCCTTCCAGAAAGAATATGCATGTGTACAGTTTTATACCTCCACCTTCAGTTTTTGATATTTTTGGTGTTTAACAAAAATTGGCTTCTAATACTGTAGGTTGACCATTATGAAAACAGACGAGTTAACATAATTTAATCATCATTATTATTAGGGCCCCACATTAGAGGTAGACACACAGTGTCCTCTTATCTCTCTGTCCTTCTACATTTTTAATTCCAGAGATTTTTTCTGAATCTAAAAGACTTGATCATTTTTGAAATTTGACATATTGATACACTGTGATATGTAAATGTGCAATAATAGGGGTTTTACCGTTTCTGAGGTCAAGGTCAGGGTCACTGTTACTAAAAATAGACTACGGGAAAGTATGTTATAGTCATATATGACTGGGTCCGCTTGCTGACCTAGCTAGCTGTCAGTGTTCTACTTCATGATGTTATCAGAAGTAAATTTAACTGAATATTTTGTACAGCAATCAATGACTGACCACAAAATTTCAACAACAGACTGTTTATAGATCAGTGATTGTGAAATGAACATATTTACCTTTGTCAAAAATGCCTTCAGAGAAACGATGGTAGTCAAATGAAAACAATTTCAATGATGAAAATGTTATTTTTTTTTGTGAAACATGATCTAAGATTCTTTATTTTGGTGAAAATAAATAATGTGAAAATCATTCATAGAAGGCATCCGGTGTATCCAAACAGCTGCATCGCATTGATACTCAAAAATTTAAGTCATGATAATAATTTGAAAAAAAAATAAACTGCAAAATGTAAGATTTAACTTTCACATAATGATCTGAATTCTTGAAATATTTCTTATACAATTGAATTAAAAAAAAAATTGTCCATCTTGCAAAAGCGAAGTGTTATAGCTTTCTAAATTTAGAATAGACTTTAAATTGTTCAAAGCAGGTTAATTAAGTGGAGTTTTTATTACAAAAACAAAAATATGAAAAAAAATATTCTTATATTCAGATGACAATCAACATCTAAAATTTTAGTCTTTAAGATTTAATTCTGTAAAGAAAATGGACCAGGTATATATATATGCTTTCGATAGAAACTGTAGTCACACGATATAATAGTGTTTACAACACTGGACCACTTAACGAATAACGAAATTAATTTCAGACTGTTTATGCTTATAATTTCATGTTCTAGAGGAAAAATGGGATACTTGGTAATTTTTGGTATTTAAGAACAAAACATAATCAAAACTGAGCACCATGCAGACAAACAAGTATACATTCAATCAAACAACATTTTTAAAAGATCACTGTGCCTATGAAATCTTTTGGAAGCATGCTCTTCTCCAACCTAAAAAAAGAGTTGAAACTATTCAGGCACATACATGAAGTCAATGCCTATACGCTGATATACAGGTATATACACCAAATTTACAACCAGAAGAAGAAAGACAACCAAAAACACTGTTTGTTGTACCTCCTTGTCCTTCTACCAAGGCCCCGCCCTGGCCCCGCTCCTAAAGGAATCCACCCCGAACAAGGGCTAGCTACACCCCTGCTGTTTGCTTTAAAAAAGACAAGAGTAATATGTAAATGTTTAGAATTGCAGTAATTGATGCCAATATCTTACTTATTTTTATGTGTGTTTAACAAATTGTATGAATACACTTTTTTTTTGTTTTTGTTTACTAGGAGCACCCTCAGCTTGTAGACAAATGGGCACCTGTATTTGGAGAGATACTTCTGAAGACTCCGTCAGTAAAAGCTTTAGAAACCTGGGTCTACAGGATGGCAGACACAGTACAGGAAGAATGTGTACTGAAGTAAGAACTTCAACAACTTGTATTCTAAGTGGATCATAGATTTCCTTTTAGGGGCCACAGTGGCCAAAATGGTTAAGGCGTCTGACATTCTGCTACCACTAGCCTTCCACCGCTTGGTCGCGGGTTTGAGACCTACGTGGGGCAGTCGCATGGTACTGCATCGCCGTGGGTCGGTGTTTTTTCTCCGGGAACTCTGGCTTTCCTCCACCAACAAAACCTGGCACGTCCTTAAATGATCATACCTTTTAATAGGACATAAAACACAAAGAAATTATTTCACTGATCATGTGATTTACATTATAATGCATTTAATTCTAAATCATTTCAATTTTAGAGCCTCATTATGGAATGATGGTGTTTTAAATATTAACACTGAGTCAGGAAATGGATATCTTGCTTGTCATGTTAGATTTATCTTTGTTATTCACTCTAGATACATTATCTTCTCTGCAACCCTGGGAATATGTCATGACAAAATTGCAGGCTCTTTATTCGACACATTGTGAATGGTACAAGTAGCATTAGTCTTGAAGTTTTTCATAAAGATAAACAGAAACTGCACATTTGCATATACAACTGTATACCGAAACAGGTTTTTGAAGCTGGGTGTAACTCCTGCGTCTGTAATCTTCAAAGGGCAGGTATCATCCTAGCGATTGGTCAAGTTTTATACCTGAAATTGATTGAAAAGCTGACTGTGAGCTTTTGATTTTGTCATGCCATATTCAAAGGGATGCTGGAAAGATGAACCATTGATAAACTGATGATATAATTGTTTATGATTGTACTGACAGCGCACATAATGGTTAAGTTTGTGGACTCCATTTTTAAACATAGACTTGTCCTATATCCATGCAAAGAAATTGCATGGCCCTAGTTCAGTTTACAACCCATAGGGATGGGATTTTGATGTACATGTATATGAAAATTCTGAGAGATTACCTCATATACTACACGGTGCTTTAATTATAAATCACTTTTTAATTCTCAATGACGAAAATCATGTACAGCATTTGAATACATCTTTTAAAGACTTATTCTTGAGACCAAATAAAAAACAATTCATGGGAAAAATTAAACATGTCAGGAGTTTAAATTTGCAGGAAGGATTCTGCTGCTGCTTGGTTCCCCATCCTGAAGGGTCTCTACAGATGTGGACAGAGGGAGAGTGCAAAGACAGCAACCGACATTCTGGACGAAGGAAAATTCAAAAAAATTTGGACATGGAAAGTAAGACAACCATACATTCTGCAGGATCGAACAGTTGAATTTCAAAGCAGTTTTTCCGTTTTAAAAATCAGAGATTTTTGTAACAAGTGAATATATATATGCTGCTGTAAGAATCACACTTTTTTATTAGTGTTTTTTTTCTTTGTGAAAATCAGAAGTTTTATAAAATATTTTTAGTTTCTTCAATTTTTTTGTATTAGTAACTTCATGTTTAAGCTTATTTTGATTACCATACCTTAAATATAACAGCAAGTATGTTGCATGTAAGAAACGTCATTGCGCTTTCCAAAAACCTTGTTTCCTACGCGGGAGTATGCTGGTAAACAGGAAATCAAGCAGTGCTTAAAATTTTACATTAACTCATTCCCCCCTAAAGTTTCATAATGAACTATTCCAACATTTGATTTGGAAGAGTTCAAATGTGTCTTCAGGGGTGAATGAGTTAACAACAGTCACCAAACACTTTGTTAAAATTCAACCCCTCCATTCCGGTAGGAAAATATGTTGGAAAAGCTCCTGCTGATTCATAACATTGTAGCTTTCATTTTCCTCTAATGACATTACAAATTATAAATGGTAAACACATACATTGAGGCTATCAACCTATAATTATAATTATTGATTTATTTTGTTTCCTAGAAAAATTACCAAGATGCGATAGAAATGATCGAAATCATAGGCAAAGTGGACTTTCCAACCTCTGGCGATAACAACGACAGCAATTTATTGGCGGCCTACGGAGACGGCATCAAAAGTCTCCTGGAGCAACTAACGTAGGTATTAAAACGGAACTATATAGTACATAGGTGGCAGGTTATCTTGGATTGTAGATTTCCTGTCATGTCAAAAACTTGATGATGCTAAATTCTGATTACAGAGTAGAAACAGGGTGTCTGTCTTATATGTTATAACATATACAGGGTGTCTGTCTTGTATGTTATAATGTATACAGGGTGTCTGTCTTATATGTTATAATGTATACAGGGTGTCTGTCTTATATGTTATAATGTATACAGGGTGTCTGTCTTATATGTTATAATGTATACAGGGTGTCTGTCTTATATGTTATAATGTATACAGGGTGTCTGTCTTATATGTTATAATGTATACAGGGTGTCTGTCTTATATGTTATAATGTATACAGGGTGTCTGTCTTATATGTTATAATGTATACAGGGTGTCTGTCTTATATGTTATAATGTATACAGGGTGTCTGTCTTATATGTTATAATGTATACAGGGTGTCTGTCTTATATGTTATAATGTATACAGGGTGTCTGTCTTATATGTTATAATGTATACAGGGTGTCTGTCTTATATGTTATAATGTATACAGGGTGTCTGTCTTATATGTTATAATGTATACAGGGTGTCTGTCTTATATGTTATAATGTATACAGGGTGTCTGTCTTATATGTTATAATGTATACAGGGTGTCTGTCTTATATGTTATAATGTATACAGGGTGTCTGTCTTATATGTTATAATGTATACAGGGTGTCTGTCTTATATGTTATAATGTATACAGGGTGTCTGTCTTATATGTTATAATGTATACAGGGTGTCTGTCTTATATGTTATAATGTATACAGGGTGTCTGTCTTATATGTTATAATGTATACAGGGTGTCTGTCTTATATGTTATAATGTATACAGGGTGTCTGTCTTATATGTTATAATGTATACAGGGTGTCTGTCTTATATGTTATAATGTATACAGGGTGTCTGTCTTATATGTTATAATGTATACAGGGTGTCTGTCTTATATGTTATAATGTATACAGGGTGTCTGTCTTATATGTTATAATGTATACAGGGTGTCTGTCTTATATGTTATAATGTATACAGGGTGTCTGTCTTATATGTTATAATGTATACAGGGTGTCTGTCTTATATGTTATAATGTATACAGGGTGTCTGTCTTATATGTTATAATGTATACAGGGTGTCTGTCTTATATGTTATAATGTATACAGGGTGTCTGTCTTATATGTTATAATGTATACAGGGTGTCTGTCTTATATGTTATAATGTATACAGGGTGTCTGTCTTATATGTTATAATGTATACAGGGTGTCTGTCTTATATGTTATAATGTATACAGGGTGTCTGTCTTATATGTTATAATGTATACAGGGTGTCTGTCTTATATGTTATAATGTATACAGGGTGTCTGTCTTATATGTTATAATGTATACAGGGTGTCTGTCTTATATGTTATAATGTATACAGGGTGTCTGTCTTATATGTTATAATGTATACAGGGTGTCTGTCTTATATGTTATAATGTATACAGGGTGTCTGTCTTATATGTTATAATGTATACAGGGTGTCTGTCTTATATGTTATAATGTATACAGGGTGTCTGTCTTATATGTTATAATGTATACAGGGTGTCTGTCTTATATGTTATAATGTATACAGGGTGTCTGTCTTATATGTTATAATGTATACAGGGTGTCTGTCTTATATGTTATAATGTATACAGGGTGTCTGTCTTATATGTTATAATGTATACAGGGTGTCTGTCTTATATGTTATAATGTATACAGGGTGTCTGTCTTATATGTTATAATGTATACAGGGTGTCTGTCTTATATGTTATAATGTATACAGGGTGTCTGTCTTATATGTTATAATGTATACAGGGTGTCTGTCTTATATGTTATAATGTATACAGGGTGTCTGTCTTATATGTTATAATGTATACAGGGTGTCTGTCTTATATGTTATAATGTATACAGGGTGTCTGTCTTATATGTTATAATGTATACAGGGTGTCTGTCTTATATGTTATAATGTATACAGGGTGTCTGTCTTATATGTTATAATGTATACAGGGTGTCTGTCTTATATGTTATAATGTATACAGGGTGTCTGTCTTATATGTTATAATGTATACAGGGTGTCTGTCTTATATGTTATAATGTATACAGGGTGTCTGTCTTATATGTTATAATGTATACAGGGTGTCTGTCTTATATGTTATAATGTATACAGGGTGTCTGTCTTATATGTTATAATGTATACAGGGTGTCTGTCTTATATGTTATAATGTATACAGGGTGTCTGTCTTATATGTTATAATGTATACAGGGTGTCTGTCTTATATGTTATAATGTATACAGGGTGTCTGTCTTATATGTTATAATGTATACAGGGTGTCTGTCTTATATGTTATAATGTATACAGGGTGTCTGTCTTATATGTTATAATGTATACAGGGTGTCTGTCTTATATGTTATAATGTATACAGGGTGTCTGTCTTATATGTTATAATGTATACAGGGTGTCTGTCTTATATGTTATAATGTATACAGGGTGTCTGTCTTATATGTTATAATGTATACAGGGTGTCTGTCTTATATGTTATAATGTATACAGGGTGTCTGTCTTATATGTTATAATGTATACAGGGTGTCTGTCTTATATGTTATAATGTATACAGGGTGTCTGTCTTATATGTTATAATGTATACAGGGTGTCTGTCTTATATGTTATAATGTATACAGGGTGTCTGTCTTATATGTTATAATGTATACAGGGTGTCTGTCTTATATGTTATAATGTATACAGGGTGTCTGTCTTATATGTTATAATGTATACAGGGTGTCTGTCTTATATGTTATAATGTATACAGGGTGTCTGTCTTATATGTTATAATGTATACAGGGTGTCTGTCTTATATGTTATAATGTATACAGGGTGTCTGTCTTATATGTTATAATGTATACAGGGTGTCTGTCTTATATGTTATAATGTATACAGGGTGTCTGTCTTATATGTTATAATGTATACATTGTTATGAGTAAGTTGACCGAAGAGCATAACCACTGACGTCATCTGGCCCCGGACAATAGGCCAAGTAGGATTGCCATGCTTCAGGGGAAATTATTGACACTTCCTAACATCAGTTGATACAATGCAGGAATTAGCTAGCACTCTATCTGTGACTACCAATAAACAATGTGTTTGTTCTTTGATAACAAGTTACTGATTAATTTTGATTATTTTCCAGGCTGGCCAAAGTTGCAGACAAAACGATGGGAAGTGTAGCTAATTTTGTTGTGTCAATGATGGAAAAACGGTCAGGATTTCTCAACGAGTTCACTGAGCGATTTGCGGACAAAGTTTCACTAGAGGTAGGCTAGTGTTTTATTGATAAATATGTGTCCGATTACATGAAGTCAGGAACAAAACTTCAGATGAATAAGTTGAATTTTTATCATTTTGACACAGATGTGGCTATGGTTTTATAAATATTTGTTTTGTTTTGATATTTTAAACCTGTGTGTGAGGCTCACATAACTTGATACAGAGAAATCCATTTAATATCACATTGCTTAATGATCGACATGTTATAGTTAATGTCATGTTTGACTAAAAAAAAAACTATTTCTCTCTGTATTTTTTATATGTACCTGACCATCGTCATAGGACCTTAGCTGCTGTGAAGGCGCAAAACACCAAACAAACAAACAAACAAACAAAGTAAAAAAAAATACAGCAAACATGAACCTGGTAATCTAGTTTAATTTGTTTGATATCATGTGATTGGACAATAAGTTCTCTTTATTCCGTTTGCCATCCTCGATTTCGCTGTCTTCACACCTGGGATATGTCAGAGCGAATATCGAAGGCACATGGCTGGTTGATTGGTGTCAATCTCTAGGCTGTTAGCTGTCCGTTGAAGATTACAGAGGAATGACACCAAAGACTTCAAATCCTGTCAATTTTACCACTACGCAACCGTGAGATTGTTTAGATGTAAATCAAAGGATCAAACAAAGTCTTGCTGTCTGATCCACAAGGTGGTGTACACTGAGCCTTTAATTTTGATATGACATATTCCAGGGGTGCAGAGAACGTAATTGAACGTTACCCCTGGAGTATCGTGCATGATCATTTACCAGCAGTGTAACAGGAAATCCTTAAGGGGATGATTAATTATAAAACTTGCGTTTATTTTCAGAACAACCAAGATGTTATCCCTGATCTAGTCAAGAGATTTTCCGTACTCTTCCTGGATGCAGATTATCCATGGGACAACCTGGATACAAGCAGATGTGGCCAGGCCATCTTTGATAGTGTCATCTCAGCTTATAGGTATACAGCTTAACTCTTTCCGTACTGTTGTCCTGTACATATGACAACAATATGTGCTTCCTGGTCCCTGTTGTCGTGTACACACGACAAAAATGTATGCTGTCTCATCCCTGTTGTCATGCATAAAGGACAAGAGACTTTGGTGTTATGTTTCTTCTGCTTGACTGGTTATAGTACATGACAGGCATGTGAACCAAAATATTGTTTCTAAAAGTAGCACCATCAGTAGGTAAGAAAGATTTTTATATATAGAGTATACATTTTTCATCAAGTGACCTATTGTTTTCGAATTTGCCGCAATTTGTTGTGTTTTGTGGTCTCAAACATATGGCGACTGAATTCGATACAAATTCTTGTAAATCTATCACCAAATATTTATGGGGACTTATGGATGTAAGAAGCGATATTTTGATATAAGTCAACTTAAAACCTACTTGTATTTGAAAAACTAAATGATTTTGTAACCATTATATATAAGCAATCCCCTTTGGGGACCCACACTACAATGCTGTTTTGAATACAATGAATTGTACCGATCGTAGCTGCACAAATGGTGATTTCTCAGTCATAATTAGCTGCATGGTAGTCATAATACTGCGAAAATGAAGACGTGTATGTCTTTGAATAACGACATGAAACAATTACAACATTGGTTCATGGTTACCATTTGTTTTCTTCCAGTCATCGTCTGAAAATACATTGATACTCCCCGATTTTGTAATGTGTGCGGAGGTGATCGAGTCTGGTTAGGACATCCGGTACGGATTAAGCTATTGTATATCTTTTAGGGTGTTCTGATGGTGCATTTGATAATACACTTGCCTTTCGCCAAGGCGTCCAGGGTTCGAATCCCAGATCAGACATGAAAAGGTACTGGGTCACAGCTTCCTGACCATGTGGGTTTTCTCGGGGAACTCCCACGTTAAGACACTCTGTGCACTTCCATCTGTGCCAACAAGAGTGATTTATTTAAGTTAGGAAACTTGTTTCACAATTGTTGTAAAAAATCAAGTTTATAGAATATATGGTTTATGGACATTTAAGACACGAGCCTGTGAGGCAGACACATCTTAATAATTAGATAGTGAAACATTGCCAAAAAACGTTAATGTAATAATCCATCTTGAAAACTTGTGACAAGGCATTCTCAACATTAAGTGTTAATATTTGATTTTGTATAATGAAGCTCCGGGAAGGACATGCCTGATGATGTGACTGAGATTCTGGTCAAGATGTTGCTGTACTCCATGGAAGCGGAGGATCTGGAATATATGAACATGGAGTACGGATCTATTACAATTTACGGCCTGGCTGCATCTGCATATCTGATCATGTTTGTGACCAAGGTAGAAAATTAAATACATCTGTGAGGGTTCTGAGTAGGATAATGTAAACAAAGAAATCATGTGGAAGTATTCATATTACAGTGTGTGGCTCTTAAATCTAGCATGGTGGGGAACCTTTCATGCTTGCAATGGTTCTAACGCTGTCATTCTATAATCTATAAATAAAATTGTTGTTTTGTTTTTTTCCACCTTCAGCATCTTTCTTAATGCTTCGGTTTTCCCCTTATATTATAATCTCTTTGCATTCCCAAACACAGTCGCAATGGTCAATGATGCGGTCAGTGTAAAATTCTATTTTGTTTTTATAAAATGGAAGTGTTCTGTTTATCTGTGTCTCGATAAAGGAGTAGATTTCTCCGAAAACTTGACAAACTCATATTGTCTGCATTGTTGAATCACTTCCATGCTCCATATTATCTATAAAATTGAAATATTTTCGCCTGTGGATTATTTCACATTTTTTTAATCAGCTTGAAAATTGTGACCATTAACATACCACAAAAATTTGCACAACTAAAAAAAGAAGTAAAAAAGATTTGTTTAAATTCTATTTTCAAAGGCTGTTGATGAAACCTTGTATTTATCATAATCATTTACAGTGAATTTGTGTAGAATTTTTATTAGTCTCTAGTGCCCTGTACTTGCCTTTCATCGATATCTTAATTGCTGGTGTAGAATGCTGTGCTTTTATTTGAGATAGACATTGGAACCAGATCATCCAGTGTTGCGTTTTCTTCCTTTAGCATGCCATCAGTGACTGTCCTGACAGAGCCCTGGGGCCACTGATGGCGGCCATCGTAAAACAGATGGACCATGAAGAGGAGCCTCTCCTGGAAGCAGCTCGCAATATCATGGCAGTGACAAGTAGCCAAGTGCCGGCTCTTGTCAGCCCGCACGTACCGACTTTCATCCAGTGGTACCAGACTACTCACTCTGTCGAGGCTTTATGTATGTGTTTAAGCATTTTATNGGGGGGGACACACACACACATGATCTCTGACTCAAAGTTGGTAGTGGGCTTATAATTACAGGACAACAAAACAGTGTTTAGTTTACATTTCTATTATACTGGTATATCTATGGGTGGGCTTATTACCAGGCATGGGCTTATTGCTGGATAAATAGGATAATTGTTACCTGCATGAAAAGAAACGTTAATTTTATATAAAATATGTTTTTAATGGACGTAAGTGGTGACCTTAAAATATATTTATAATGAACCACAGTGACATTAAAATATTTTTATGATGAACATGTATTCAACGGACCATAGTTTTGTAAATAAACATGCTTTTAAGATGGTTTAGCCCAACAGGGGCTATATAACTAAAATGTTTGTTTGATAATTGAAACAAGGAATGTCATGTTTATTTTACAGACGCTTTATCGAAACCATATCAAGTTGGTGACGGAATCTCAAAAGAGGATTTTGAAAAATTAATGAAAGCCTTTGCGGAAGACCCGAGTTCAACTGCTGGACCCTTACAATCTCTTGTTATAATGGATATGGGTGAAAAACAACCAGAGGTAACTCAATATTCACTCCTTGTATATTGGATGAAAAGGCAAGGTTCAAGCATTAGTTAAAAATGTACAAGTTATTCACAGGTCTTGGTGGGTATATATAGGTAACATATCTGAAGAATTATTTTTTTGGTTAATATGCAGGTCATGGCCTTAATATGAAAGGACTATGTATGGTTGGGCGTGTTTTGACCCCCAAATGCATCAAAATTCAAAACTTTTCAATGAACTTTGAAACGAATATTTCTTTAATTTTGGATACTTATCCCAAATGCTATCATGAAAATATCTTTTTGTATTTTTAATTATTGTTGCCATGGTAACAAGTTCAAATTTGCATTCATATTATCTATTTATTATTACATATATATATATAGTCCTTTGACCTGAAGAAGACAACACCACGGTGTTTCACTTAAGCATAATAAAGATACCAATCCGAAAAGTTCATGTTGAAAATATTTTTCTGTATCAAACAACATTTTACAACAAATGTTACTTACCTAAACAATAGAAGGGTTACATTCAAAGACAGGCAAGCATGACTGTGTGGGAACTTATAAGATATTATATATATAAGATGTGTCTTTGTGCACCAAATAAAGCATCAGAGTAAGTAATCAACTTTTGTGTCCGACTGATTGAGATACATGATCAACAGAAGTGTCCAGGCCCAATTGTGCTACAGTTATATCGGAATGGCAGCTTAGGGGAGGTTTGGTCGAGTGGTTAACACTTCGGCCTTCCACGCAGACGGCCAGGGTTCGATCCTCTAAGTCGTCGTACGCATGGAATATCAGAGAAAGTGTTTTTTCCTGCCCACACAACTCCAACAACCCAGGTGGCGTATAAAATGGTCTGGGGTGGATGTTGCGGTACCTGTGCTGTAGCATTCAAGTGAAGTGGCACTATAAAAGATGCAGAACAGAACACAATACATCTCCAGCACACACGCAGGCATACACACATAGGGAGATATTAGCCAGGTGGCATAGGACTAGTAGTTAGCGCCTGATAAGGCAGCTCCTGCGAATTCCTCAAAATTGAATTAATTAATGTATATGATAATTGTATTAATTGTATATCTGTGTACTGTAAAGTGCTTTAGAGTGGTTTATGTTAGCTAGATAGGGCGCTATATCAAATGTTGTATATTATTATTTATTATTATTATTACTGTATGTATGAAAAACCACAGTGCCATGGAACATGGATCCAGAATTAGATTTTAATACCAGTCACTGCCTAACTGTGTATAATGTTGTCTCCCATATTTTTATTTCAGCTGTTTACGCAGGAGCATGTTGACATGATATTAAGCCCAAAAATGATGGACGATACGAACGTCCAGTATCGGATTTTGATGGCAATGAGCGCAGTCATCTCTAAGCAACCGCAGCTGTTCGGAAACAATGTCATTGATTGTGTCCTGAAGAATCCAAAATTAAGCTTAACCTATTCACATGCGATAAAGACAATCGGAGTTAGCTTTGCATTTCATCATACGGTAAGTCTTAATGAAAACATCTTTATCATTTACTGTATTCTGGGAAACTTTCGCCTAGTCAAACTTTTGCCCTACGCAAATAAAACCTGTATTCACCCTTTGTTAATTTTGCCCTTCACATTTGATCCCTGTGTTGAATATGTCAAATGTTACTAATGTTCGCTTTTACCATAAATTCACCTTCATTACGGAAAGCAAAATAGCCGAAGATTAACCTGCTGAGAAAATTTCCTGGTTTACAGTATTTAAACATTTAAGGATGCATGGTACTTTACACCTTATAGAATGTAATTTGAATTAACAATTATCTCTCATGTTTTTAAATGTACAAACATCAATAGTTAGCTCATTTACCCCTGAAATTTTATAATGAACTATTCCCACCTTTGAATTGGAAGAGTAAAAATGTGTCTTCACGGGTGAATGAGTTAATGGGTACGCTTTTTGCACTTATTAAGAATGGCTAAATTATGAGAAGTGTTAATGTCAAACCATTGTATTCCTTATGTTAACAACAGTTGCAAAGTTCATAGATTAACTAAATGGTTCTGGTAATAGAAAAAATGACATTAACACGCTATATTACGTTATTTAATGGGCATTAATATGCCGTTAATGTGATTAATTGGTAATTAATGAGAGATAAATGATGACTTGTTTACCATTTGATAATTTTAATCAATAGACATCAATCAACAAGGAAATGTAAGTATAGTATCATTTTTTTTTTCTAATTTTTAAAATGTTTTTTTACCAATTTTCCAGGAGTTTGTGGAGACTGTTCTGACTGAGTTTCTGAAACTGTCTAAAAAGTGCGACGATCCCAATTACCAAGTAGCATTGGTTGACGGTATTCGTACACTGGGAACACAGCACGGGATCGAACGACTCAAGCCACATCGCCCATACATCGAGGAATTGCAGAAAAATGGAAAATCTGCTGCACTCAAAGACCAGGCCACTTCTATTCTTAATGAAATGGATGGTATCAGGTAATGAACACATATTCAAACTTGTAGAAACCTAGACACAGTTGGTCATAGCCACCTTAACCCATTCACCCCTGAAGTCAGATATGAACCTTATCATATCAAAGACTGAGCCAGTCCTGGGTTTAAAAATGTATTTTTAAATATTACTGAAAAACTGTTAAATTTGTACCAACTGTGGTAGCTTGACATTACATATTTTGTCTAAACAAAAAACTTTAATTAGACCAATTTTTGTTCAGACATAGTAAATTTGATTTGTTGCCAGTGTGGAAGGCATAGTGAAGGATGTTGAACAGCAGAAGGGAGATATAAATGTCCTCAACACTAAGGTCACCGAAACAACGGCTAAAGTTGACGTGGTTGATAAGAAAGTTGACAAGCAGGGAAAGGAAATTGTTACGGTCAAAACTGGACTTAAAGCTACCAATAAACGTGTGGATAACGTAGAAAAAGATCTGGATGAAACGAAAATCAAGGTTGAAGAGGTCGACAACAAGGTCAGTTTTATTTTCCTTCTTGAAATGGAGTCGCAATAATAAACATAGCATCATGCTTTACTTTGTTGGCATCTTATAAGGTATTTTACAAAATTAAATATTCAAGAATATTGGGCTACATTCGCGTATCCCGGTTGAAACGGTACGTGTGGCGCAGAAATTTTCTACGATAAACGAACACACTTGGACAGAGCAGAGCTAAAAATCCACAGTTTTGGAGAATAAAAAACAATGTTTCAAGAATATTATGCCCTTCTCTGACGCGTCCACTAAATTACATAACGTATCTTAAAAATTACATGTGACTTAACATTGTTTAAGAAAGAAATAATGCAAATTTGCAATAGTCAGCATTTTGTTTCGGTCAGGTACGTCTGGACCCCTCAATCTACACGTACCAAATTTTCCTGAGGTCAGCCTAGGTCCAAATCTGTACCTGTCGTTTTCTTTACAGGTTCAACCAGTTCAACCATTTCAACCGGATACGCGAATGTAGCCTAGGTCTGGTGTAAATAATCTGCAGACTTTTTAACTTATGGTCCCATTACAGGAATGGATAAGGACAGGATTTGATAAGTGGCACTCACTCAGAAGTCCACAGTCTTTATGTATTCAAATAGGTTTACAGGCTCAATATTTCTAAAAATAATTATGCAATATCTTTTAAACATATAATGTCAAAACTCCATGCTTTAACCCTAGATTCCTTTTCGAAAAATGTTGTGTAATATTGAAAAAAATGATTTTGTTTTGTTTTGATCTCCTCTGTACCATATCATTACAGACAATGACCAATGCCCCTAAATGGTCAAGAGATCTGACCAAGCTGATGAATCCACAGTCAGATCATGACTGGAGACTTCTGGCGAAGAGATTGGCGTACACACCTGATGACATCAAGGGCTGGGCGACCCAGCACGACCCCTGTATGGGCCTCCTCAGTGAGTGGTACGCCACCCACAAGACGATCGAGGCCACCCACGCTGTACTAGTCGCTCTACAGGAGATAGACAGGATGGATGGTGCCGCCATTGTCGAGAATGCCATGAAGGCTGTAGGTCAGTAAATATGTGCTGTATGTTATGTGACAATATGATTCCTTGACTTTCAAATAAGGATTTGAATTGAAGAAAAATAACATGTTTGCTTTTTCTTTTTCAAGCTTGATAAATAGTATTTTCAATAAAAAATATATCACCCTGGTAAAACAATTAGCTGCTTTCTACCAAATTGGCTAGGGAGAATGTTTTTTTTAGCTCATTCGGTAGAGTAAGTGACTTCCTCAAATCAAAGGTTCCTGGTTTGATCTCTTAGTGGAGGCTTTCAAAAATAATCAGCTTTGATCTCACAAGCATTTCTGTTGCAATCAGCAGGAAGATCAGTTCCTTCCTGGAGGAGAGTCAGCCTGATAAAATACAACCTACTTCATACCGACCTGGCTACCGGGAGAATACCAGTCTAGTACATTTGATTCCTAGTGAGGGCATTGACAAATAGTTACCTCTATTACAAGTAGGTAATGCTGGATTAGGGCATTGGTGTCATCATTTATATCTAACAATTAAAACTCTGCCTTGAAATACAGTTATAGCAAGAGAATATTGTAATATAATATTTTCTGATATTATATTCTGTTTCTGTTCTCAGAGGGAGTTGTGGAAGAAGAGGTAGACTACGCCACACCTCCACCTATCTTCCTTAGTTACCAGTGGGGTCATCAGAACGAGGTCAAGTTACTGCGCAATCACCTACAAATGGCCGGGTACGAGTGCTGGATGGACATCGGTCAAATGGGAGGTGGGGACAAACTGTTTGAGAAGATTGACAACGGAATCCGTGGCGCCAAGATCATTATATGTTGTGTGTCCGAAAAGTATTCCAAATCTCCCAACTGTAACAGAGAGGTGAGTTATTTTGTTGTTGGTATTGATCCCCCAACTGCTACAAGGTCAAGTATGGGGCAAGGGGTCAAAAGTCAAGGCCACAACAAAAGGTCAGATGTCAAGGCTTTGTTATGTTGGTCTGAACTATGACCTTTGAACAGCTCATAATAATTATTGTAGAATGTGTATCGTATGTACAGTTGCTCTCAGGTTTATACCCCTGTACATGGTCAAGGTGTCAATGTCACAGCAGGGACTAAACGTCAAATTATTGTAATGCTTGACTGGGTTCTAAATTTTGACTGGCTCAGTATTTTTATGACACTTCATACTTGGATGCATAATGACTTCTAACCACCTTGACAACTATCTTATTCGTACTCCAAAGGCCAAGGTCACCACAAGGTCACCAAGAACATGGAGTGCAGGATCAAGTCACTATAGTGCCTGTCAATGCAATTTCTGAAGGGTTTAAAATTTTAAATGAAACTTGACTGATGTATGTTTCATGACTGGATAGTATGTTTAATACACCACCTGTGTGTCTTTAGCTCAAAGTCATGACAAGGGTCAAAGGTCATATAGGTATGGTCAAGGTCAAGAACATAGAATTACAATCATTTTTCAGGACAGTGACATGTAAATGGCTGAATAAACATGCACTTTAATGAAATTTTAAACTTGGCTGTATCTACTTAAGATTATACAGTTATGCTACAGGGTACATGCATTGCTTTGCAATAAAGCTTTTGGTATATATGTTTATGCTTGTCTTGGTTACAATGGTTGTTACATTTTACAGGTAAACCTATCTGTAAGCTTGGGGAAGCCTATGATTCCCCTTCTGATGGAGAAGATGGCCTGGCCCCCTAAGGGCTCTATGGGACCCATCTTCAGCGAGTATTTGTTCGTGAGATTCTTCCAGCGAGGAGGAGAGGAGACCAAAGACCAACGTTTTTGGCCAGTCCCCAAGTTCCAGGAACTGTTGATGCAACTTAACATGTATAAAGCCATGCCTGATGAATCTCTTATAACTGAAGGTACAATTGTAACTAAACTGTAAAATGTAAACATACATGCTGGTTAGTTTACATATACGCAGTAGCTAGCTAGCTATGATTGAGGCTATACTGTTGCTACTAACTTTTGCTCTTTTGTTTGGTACCGTCACACTTGGCTGTAGACTGAATTCAGTCAGTCACTTGTTGATTCTTCCTAAAGTCTGAAGTATTGGATTCGTGAATTACCAAGCATACATTTACAAAAATCCCCCCACCCCCACCCCCCACCCCAC